TAATTTTTCCACAAATGTACTAAAAATGCATTAAAAATGTACTGAAAAACTCGGCTTAGACATGAGTATATGCGGAAAGTGTTCCGGCATTCCCGGTTTTTGCAATGTTACTTCTCATTTGTCATGAGGCACACAGTCGGATGCCCTTGTGTAGTCAGTAAACCACAGGAAACATTTTGGAGTAGTCTCTGCTTTCAGCCAAGACCCAAGGGACGTCAGTCATGACAGCCTTTGCTGATGCCTTCTTCTGAGTCCGACTTGAATGTCTTGCAGTTCCCCATCAATGTACTGCTGCAACCATTTTAGAATTATCTTAAGCAAATCTTGCGTGTGATATGACGATCATTTGATAATTTCCACCAATGACTATTTTGCCCACAGAATCCTTCAATTCTCTCTGTGCCACAGGGCTGCTATGAGTCAGAACTGACTCAATGGCAGTGTGTTTGAGAGGGTTTTTGTTTATGAGACGCTACTTAATACGGTCACTACCAAAAATGGTCATGTTTCAGTTAAGCAGTCATTCCCTGGGCATCCTTGGACCCACCTAGAGGACACTTTGCCCCTGGCAGGGAGCCAGGGCACAGCCAGAGGCATTGTGACTACTTCTTGTTCCTCATCCCACCCACCTATCAAACTAGCATTGATCAAAAAATGAGTTTGGTAAATTAACATTAGCATCACTTAGTGTTATGGTTTCCATAGTCCACTTCACTCAAAGTTGTAACCAGTATAAAAAGAGTTCTCAGAGAGCCCAGGTTGCACAGTGGCTGAAACCCTTGACTGCCTTCCCCAAAGAGCTGTCACAGCAGCCCCCATAGCACATCCTTGCCTGTGCAGTCGGTGATGAAGCAGCAGTGCTTTTGTCCCTGTTCAAAACCAAAAAAACCCCAGACTCACTGTCATTGAGTTGATACTGACTCATATCAACCCTATAAGAAAGAATAGTATTGACTCTGTGTTTCAGAGACTGTAACCATTTATAGTCGTAGACACCCTCCCTGCCTCCCCACCCCCCACCCAGTCTTTCAAAACTGCAGACCTCGAGGGTCACAGCACCACAGCACCAGTGCTCCTCATAAGCTCCCCAGTTTATTGCAAATACATAGATGTCTCTCCGACTGGCCCTTGGTCAGTGTTTCCATCTCTCTGCATCAACGTATAAGAAGTCTTGCCCTCTTTGGGGCTTGAGCCTATATATATATCAATATATCAAAATGCTGGCATTTCAACATAAACTCAATACTGACATGATTAATAAGGGTGTTTTTTTTTCCAATTCTCTTTTATGTACCAAGTGTTTGATAGATTTATTAGACTATTCTCTCTCTCTTTTTAAATAAAGTTTTATTGTGGTTTTCAGAGAAAGCTGACACCGCCTATTCGGTTCTCCTTTGCTGTCTCTATGCAAATACAAATTGCTCGGTGACATGAGTCGCACTTCTCACAATGTGCCAACAATCTTTTTCATTGTGTTCTGCTTCTTCCGTTTTCAGAACTCATTTCCCTGCCTGCCTTATCTTCTCATCTTTGCTTTGTGTCATTGTTGAACTTTTGGTCTCATATAAATGTTTTTTTAATGGAGTGCCAGACTCCCAGGTAATATTTTAAAATTTGTTTGCTAACCTGCAACTTTACAAAAACATGACTCCAGGGAATAATTCCAGTTCAAGATTTAAAGAGCATCTGGAGGAGGTAGTCTTCGGGAGTTCTCTCATCTCAACTGGCCCTCCAACTCTGGACTTTTCCATGTGAGTTGTAGTCCATGTTTTCCTCCCATTCCATCATGGCCCACCTGTTAGGTAAGCTAGTGTAGGGCTGGGGAATGTCCATTAACGCATGCCCAGAGGGCCAAGCTACGGGAACAAAGGAGTGGCACACTGCACATGCCCAGAGGCTCAGGTTTCCCACGGGAGGCATGGGTGGGCGTGAACCTGAATTGGCCCACCTAGGCCAGGTGAATTCAATTCAGCCAATGGGGTCGGTCAGGGGTCGTCCATCACACCTCCCACCTCCCCGTGGAATCCTTGAAAAGGGAGGAGCCCGGAGAACTTTGGCCGAACCTTGGGAGATTTTGCATGAGTCTGCGAGCAGCTTCCAGGCAGGCTGCATGTTTGGGAGGAGTCCTATCGGTGCCTGTGTAAACCTGAAACTTCTAATGCTCATAAAACTCACTTGGATCACGAACCAGGCTTCGGCGTGAATTCTTTCTCGCGCAGAGCCAAGGACTGAGGTATAGATCTAGCTCCAGAGAGATCTAACACATCTATTGCTGCCTTGCTCCAAATGGTTGATAGTGAGAGTCGGAAACCATCTAGTCCTTCTGGTCTCCGGGTAGATAGACTGTATCTTAGATGGCTGCTCACAAATTTTTATGATCCCAGAAGAAACTCACCTGGCTAGGAGGTAGGACATGAACTTTATGAAGGACATTATGCCAATTGACTGAGTTGTCCCATGAAACTAAAGTTCTAAGCCTTCAAATGCAGAAAACCCATTATGAAAGGTACTTGCTTATCTCTGAGAAGTATCCATTACCGTATCTTCTATGAATAATAGAAGTGAGCATACACATACACATCTACATACATGAACACAGATACCTCTACAAGTGCATATATATGGACACACCTGAACCTACCCATACACATATATGCTTATATACATTCATGTTTTGGTTTTCAGTGGATGATTCTTTTTATCTAAAATGTGTTCATTGGGGGTGCTTTTACTGCGACTTTCATCCGAAGGAGCAGCCTTAGTAAGCCTCACTTTGCCTCCTGTAACCTAGCACAGTCACCTCACACAGCTACTGGCCTCACATAAAGACCCTGGTGATTTTATAGCATCCTTGGCATTACACACCTGTACCGGGGGCATCGCCTGGTGTTTCCTTTTCTCCTAGAAGGATGTAAGGGATCCTTTTTAAGAGGGAGGGTCTCATAAGGTGATTATCACCATGGGAAACAGCTGGACAATTCATTTTGACACCTGGTGTGGTTACGTGTTGGGCTGCTAACTACAACATCAGCAGTTCAAAACCACCAGCTGCTCCTCAGGAGAAAGGGCTTTTCTACTCCTGTAAAGAGTTACCATCTGGAAACCCACAGGGGCAGTTCATTTCTGTCCTGTGGGGTCACTACGAGCCAGCATAGACACGATGGCAGCAAGTCTGTGTATTTGAATCTTGACGATTACTGAATATTTAAACCTCTGCCTACTTCTTCACTCTTTCATTTGTTCAACAAACACTAGAGCACCCACTATGCACCAAGCATTATGTCAACCCACTGCCATCAAGTCCGTTCCAACTCATAGGGCCCCTGAGGATGTCAATGTTTACAGGAGCAGAAAATCTCATTGTTCCCCTATGGTGTGGGTGGTGGCCTTGAACCATCAACCTTGCAGTTAGTAGTCCAACTCTTATGCTACAGTGCCACCAGCGCGCCAGACAGCATTATGTTCGATGCTGCTGGAAAGACAAAGGCGAGCCAGACTCTGTCTGCCCTAGAGCTCGGTCTAATTGGGACATAGATGCATGGATTTTATGAGCTCCTGAAGAAGAGTCGTAAATGTTAGCTCTGTGAAGGGAATGGGAATGGGCATTCTTGAAGGGCCAGCTTTCCCCAAGGCACAGAAACAGGAACAGCAGGACGCAGACTGGGGTAAAGGTGAAAGGAAGGGAAAGTGGAGGGGCTGGTAAGGTGATGTTTGCCTGGTACACTGACTAACATCTCAGAAGAGACGATCATCTCTCCATAGAAGCAAGGTGAAACCTGAAAGACAGATTTAAGTCTCTTGGCTCTTGGCTCCATGAGGGCAGGCCAACTGCCAGATTCACCCTCTAGCCCCAGGGCCTGCAACATTGAATTCCGGCATTCTTCCCCAGCAGAGGCCTCAGACAGGAACTTCTCTAACACACCCAGTATAATGGTGGAGTTAAACGCCCAGGGGCTGTTTCCATTAAGATAGCAACCAAGAGAATCTTAGAAAGCAGTGGTCCTCGGTAGCACGCGGTGTGTCCTGGAGTCTGAATCAAGGCTGGAGTCCGAATCAAGGCCACGGCAACGCACAGCCACCACCTCTTGCAGTCCCAGCGAAGCCGATGGAGCAGGCATGGCGAGCTTCTTTCTTTTGGTCGTCTATCAAATGTGGCTAACACCTACCCGGCTCCCAGGACTGCTGTGGATCTCAGATGAACGTAAGGAAAGCGCCAGAAAAAATAAAAAGGTTCATCTCGTGACCTCACGGGTCTGGAGTGATGACCTGCCCAAGCGGCGGGCATCTTTCTACCCATCCGGGATCTTCAGGGTGCAGAGCGGCTAACTGGGGGATGGGACATTCCCAGAAGCCGGCTTGGGCGGCCTTGGGACACCCTCCCCAGGGGAGGTAACCCAATGTGCGACCGCTTTTCGGAGGAGGCGCCCCCTCCAGAGAAGAATGGAGCCGCCAGGACCCCCCCGCCCCGTCCACAGGTTGACCCCGAAGCCCAGACGGTGGGGAACCCCTGCTCCCAGCGCGCCCTGGCAACCCGGCGGCTCTGCAGTTGACCCCACCACCTCGTCGACCCGCGGACATCCCCTCCTCGCGCGTTGGCGAGGGTAAGGGGGTGGAGCGGTCTGACTCACACAGCCAATAAAAGCCGCGG